CATGGTCACAGTGAGGATCTCTGTGCCTTGAAGTTGCGTTGTCTCCTGTCAGCACTTCTTGTTCATATGGCATTTTTACACTGGACATGCCTAAACATATTTCTGCTTCTGTAAGTTGTACATGGTTTTCACTGAAGGCTCAGACTCTTACAGACATGTTGAAATGAAGAGTATCTTTTCTAGTTTAATTTAAAAATATAAAGACTTGTCATTGGATTTAAGTAAATTTCATATTGTGGCAAACATTATTGTTAATGGCTTTTTAAATTCAGAACATGAAATGTCTCAATTTTTGGAACATTTTTTAGGTACTGAAATTTGAGGGATACTTATTTTTGGTCTGTTTTCTATTTTGGGGGGGATACTATTTTTTGGTCTGTATTCAGTTTTGAAATTGAATTATCATTCAATTCAATTACTTTCTATTTTGAAATGTAGATTCACACACAAGTGCAAAGACACCATAGATATCCTTCACCCAGTTTTCCCTAATAGTAACACCTTACCTTACTATAGTGCAGTATCACTTTATCTATTATATATATATACACACACACCAGTGCAGTATTATAACCTTGGAAAATGGTATCATACAACCCATAGACCTTATTCAGATAACACCAGCTTTATGTATGCATGCTGTGTGTAAGTTCACGTGTGTGTATGCGTGGTTTTATGCATGTGTGTGTAAGTTCACGTGTGTGTATGCATAGTTTTATGCAGCTTTATGCATGTGTAAGTTCACGTGTGTGTATGGGTGGTTTTATGCAGCTTTATGCATGTGTGTGTAAGTTCACGTGTGTGTGTATGTGGTGTATGCGTGGTTTTACGCAGTTTTATCACAGGTACATTCATGTAACCATTCCTTCAATCAGGATGCCGAACTGTCTTGTCACCACAAAGGCCCCTTGGTCAGTCTACTTGTAAATGAGCCACTTAGAGCTAGGTGCATTAAGCTTTGGGAAATCTGGAGATAAGCCATAGTAGAGTTTTATTTCAGTTTGATCTGTGAAAAAATACACATTTATAGACTTCATTGACTTCATTGCTTTTTGGATATCAGTATTTACTGAAGACACACCCATTTAGCTCAGCTTACTGGTTTGCCCCATTTAAACTATTTAACAGAGTTCTCTTTGAATGTTGGACATCTAATATAAGTATTCCACCTTAAACAGTTTTAAGCAACTAATAATCAGAACCTGGATAAGTACCTTTACTTTTCCAATATTTCTGAACTTTAATTTTTCTTTTTTGGCCTGAAATTTCAAGAGTTCTCTTCAGATTAATTATTTTTCCTAACTTACTGCTTATAGTAAGTTACTGGTATGTAATGGGTTCTCATTATGAGTATCTACTTTTTGTCTTAATTCTTAAAACCAGTTTTTCATAAGTGAGACAATGTCTAGTTGGGAGTTACTAGAAACTTTAAATTATTTCATTTCTTGCTAATAGTGCCTCAGCGTTTTATGATTTTTTTAAAAAATGGAAAATAGCATGTATACTCACTCATGCTTAATGTTCTTAAAATTCTGGCGAAGAAAGAAAATCATCCTTTCTATGTACTGTGTGATTTTTTGAAATTGAATTATCATTAAGAAACTTATCTGAAACTTGACTTTTTCCATCTGGTTTTGTCTGCATTAATCCTTTGTAGAGTTAAGCATCACTTCAAAAAGAAACTCTGGGCCAAGTACAGCGGCTCATACTTATAATCCTATAGTGAATATTTTGTAAATAAAGGTACATTTAGCTATAGTTTCCTGTTTTCCCTGTGTGTGGTGACTTTTAGGACACCTGTACTTTGTCTTCACAGGTTTGCCCGTTCTGGGCATTTTATATAAATTAATCAAATAGTATGTGGCCCTCTGAATTTGGCTTCTTTCTTAGCTTCAAGTTCTTGAGGTTCATCCACGGTAGCATGCATCACTGCACATCATTCTTTTTATGGACAAATAATATTCCATTGTATGCATATACCACAATTTGTTTATTCATTCATTAGTTGATGGATATTTGGGTTGATTTCTACTTTTCAGCCATTATGAATAGTGCTATGATGCATATTCACATTTAATTTTTCTGTGAACGTATATTTTTAATTCTCTTGTGTATATACCTAGAAAAGTAACTGGTAGGTCATAGTCATACAACTCTGAATATACTAAAAACTATTTAATTGTACACTTTTTTTTTCTTTTTTTTTTTTTTTTTTTTTTTTGAGGCAGAGTCTCCCTTTGTCACCCTGGGTAGGGTGCCGTGCCATAATAACTCACAGCAAACTCAAATTCCTGTGCTCAGGCGATCCTCTTGCCTCACCCTCCTGAGCAGCTGGGACTACAGGTGCCCACCACAATGCCCAGCTAGTTTTTCTATTTTTGATAGAGATGGGTCTCACTTTGCTCAGGCTGGTCTCGAATTCCTGAGCTCAGGCGATCCACCTGCCTTGGCCTCCCAGAGTGCTAGGAATACAGGCATGAGTTGGAACACCCGGCCTTAAATTGTACACTTAAAAAGGGAATTATGGGTTGTATAATTCTGCTTTGCTTTGTAAGAACCCCAAACATCTTAGCAATTTATAACAAACATTTCTTTCATACATTACATTTCTGTGGTTATAGTCTTCGCTTTGTGGACTTCTCATCTTGAGACCCCAGCTGAAGGAATAATTTGTGCGCTAGACATGCCTAGTTCCGTGGTAGGAGATGAGTGCAAGGCTGGTGTACAAAAAATGCTCAACATCTCTACTCATCAGGGAAAAGGCAGAACCACAACGAGATATGTTTATTATCTCACCTCAGTTAAAAATGGCTGTTATCAAAAAGAAAAAATAACACATGCAGGTGAGGATGTGGAGAAAAGAGAGCCCTTGTACACTGAATTTTACAATCCCACTTGAAGTTTCTACTCTGATGTCTTAATGTTCTGTCTCTTTGTATTTCTTTGTGTGGGTGTGGGGCAAGTTACTTGAATGAGGTCAAAGTCAGCAATTGAGGTGGGGGTATATACTTCTCCTGTCAGAGGTGGGCAAGGGACGGAGTCACACACAGCGTTGTATAATCCTTTTATTACAGTTTAGGGAAAATTACCCATAACAATTAATTTGTAAATTATAAAAAAAAATTGCTGATTAAAGAGGAAGATGGACTGAAAACCCCTGCTTTAGGCATTGACATTTGTGAGAGATATGATAATAGATTTTTGCAGATCAGAAACTTCTTTGACTTTTTGGTACAAGAACAGAAACGTATAATTGAATTCATAGCAAGAGAAAATAAAGCTACATAGTGATGAGATATGAAGTGGCCTGGTTTAGTGACTCAGTATGACATACTTCATACTGACTTTAGTACCCAGGCCTCCACTCTGGTGAATTATAGACTGTTGTTTTGAAAAGAAATAATAGAGAAACACATACTTCCTGTAACATGATTTTTTTTTTCTTTTTTAGCTCCAACCTGCAGTCTTAGAAGAAAGACCACACTTGATCCTCCATTTTAGCTTGTGTAATATGAAACTCAGACGATGTAGATAACAAACCTGGGTGGTGCGATTTCTCTTTTTGTTAATTTTTTGATGCATATTGATTATATTTCTAGAGTACATTTATATTTTGATACATATGTGCATTGTGTAATGATCAAGTCAGAGTAATTGGAGTATCTGTCACCTTGAACATTCATCGTTTTTTTGTGTGTTGGGAACATTCCAAATCTTTCTTATAGCTCTTTTGAAATATGTAATAAATTACTGTTAACTACAGTCACTCTCCTGTGCTGTTGAACACTGGAACTTACTCCTTCTATCTTTGTTTTTGTGTTCCTTAAGCAGCCTCTTTTCATCCTCCCACATCCCTGCTCTTCCCAGCCTCTGATGCCTGCCATTCTGTTTACTACCTGCATGAAACTCATTTTTTCAGCTCCCATGTACGACACGTGATAAACCTATTTCCTCCAGTTCCATTCATCTTGCAAATGACAAGATTTTGTTTAATGGCTGAATAATCCTCTGTTGGGTGTATGTAATACATTTCCTGTGTTCATCTGCTATTGGACACTTACATCAATTCTCTATCTTGGCTTTAAGAATAGTGCTGCAGTAAAGCTGAGAGTGCAGATCTTTTCAGTGTTCTGAATTCCATTGGGATTCCCAGATCATACGGTAGTTCAGCTTTTAATTGTTTCTTTAATTTGTGTATATTCATGGGGTGCAGGTACAGTTCTGCTACACTGACACATCGAATTGTGATGAAGTCAGGGCCTGATTTAGAGCATCTATCATGGGATAGTTTTAGTTTTTTGAGGAATCTGCACACTGTTCTCACCAGCAGTGTACAAGTGCTCTCTTTTCTCTGCATCCTCATCGGTGTCTGTTGTTTTTTCTTTTTGATAATAGCCATTTTTAACTGGGGTGACACGATACACGTATCTCTTTGTGATTTTGCATTTCCCTGATGAGTAGAAGATACTGAGCATTTTTCGTATACCTTATTGGCCATTATAATTTCTTGTTTTCCAGTTTTAAACACTATACAAGTAGCTTGGTTTGAGGATTAGAAGATCCTGTTTTCCCTTTCTACTAGCATTTGCAGCATTTTTATTTTATTTCAGGATAAGCAAGAATTTCATTTGACTGAAATGGATTTTATTCTACAGGAGTATGTATATTCCATGAAGAAAATTTCAGAAGATGTATTTTATCTCCATCATCTGATATGGGGGTTTAATATATCAGGAGAGTTACTGTCTAGAAAACTGTTTTCCAATCAGTGGTATATTCTACCTTAGAGTTTTATTTAAAATAGTGGTGCCCTAAGTGAGGGAGAAATCTATTTACAAAAAAAAAAAAACCAACCAAAACTCCACATTACCATAGCAACTTGGATTTTTGCAGGTTTGTTGCTCTGAAATAGAACAGTACATTATTGTGTTGCTGGATAAATTCCTTCTTAGTCCCCAACCAAGATACTCACATAGGCTATTTCTGTCTTACTCTGTTAGGTGTAAAGATTTCTCTCTGTGTTGCTGGAATACCTATTGGATGCTGCCCTCTGATGTTTGTGGAATGAACTGCTTTTGGGAAGCGGCTTTTAGGTAGGCACTTAAATTTAATTGGTAGATCAGTGTAGGTAAGATTAGATAGTGGGTAATAAAACTTTTGATGGTAATAGGATGTAAAAATGTTTCTTATATTTGAATATTATACAAGTAAATTATTTTCTGAGTGATTTTTCTGTTTCCCATTTTGTAGTTGTCACTAATTTTTGGTTATACTGCATGTAACTGCTCTAAATTCTTTTAAGATGTTATTAAGGTAAACTGTTGTTCTTAGGAAAGTTTATGATCTTACTTTAGGTAACAAGTGGTAAAGTGATAAACATGTGCTAAAGATATGCATCCACTGACACGTGTATATGTCATGCAATTTAAAGCTGGTGTACTGAAAACATTTGTAGGTAGATGGGGACAACTAGGAAAGGATTATAGTATTACTAGCAGAGAGACTGAATATTGAGGAATGGGAGAATAAAGATAAGTATTTAGGAAGGAGCAAATGGTAAGGCATTGTTTATTGGCTTTTTAAGCTGCCAGGTAGTTTGGCTTTGTTCACTTGTCTGGATAATGAAAGTATTGGATTGGCTGACTTCTTGGATCCCTTCTTGCCTTTATCTTCAGTGGGAGAAATAAGTGTTGATAGGAATGGCATAAGGGAGTGGCTCTCAGACTGACTTCCTGAGATAATAGCAAATAAGAGTGGGATAGTACCCTGAAATTCCCTTGCCAGGAGTAAAATTTCTTTGAGAGTCATCTGTTTTTACTATATCTTTATGATTCATTGAAGTGTTAATTTTACTCATTCTGTTTCCCATGCACTTTGCTAGCTGCTCAGAACTGGACACTTGAGTCAGGTTAAAGTGGCTCCATCCTTCTGGAGCTTACATTCTAATGACAGCCTTACTGAGTAAACCTGAGATTACTTGCCATGAAGGGTGGCAAGTTGTAGCTATAAGTCATTTTAAGGCATCAGGGAAAATTTCCTGGAGGGAGTGAATAGATGACGAACAGTTTATTAGCCAAGTTCAAGGATAGGAGGTGACGTGTTAATAGGTTGGAAGAACTTTATTTAAAAAAAATTTAACTTTTTAATTGACATATTCATGGGCACAATGTGATGTTCTGATGGTTATATATACGTTGTGCTTTGATTATAACACATTGATTAACCTCATGTATTAGTCCTTTTTTGTAGTGAAAACACTTAAAACTTACTCTCTTAGCAATTGAAACATATGATATGTTATTATTAACTATGGTCACCTTGCTGTGCAATAGATCTTGAAAACATATTACTCCTATCTAACTGAAACTTTGTACCTTTTGGTCAACATCTCCCCATTCCATAACTCACTCCTACCCCCTTTTATAACCACTATTCTGCTCTCTGCAAGAACTGCATTCTTGATGTCTATTTGTTGTATATATTTTTAAATTCTTACATTCTTGTGGCATTATACATCCCATGAACAACTGGCAAGGAATAGTTGAAATCAGATATTTGAATTATATCTTGTTTCTGTGGAAGAGATTCGGTGATTGAAATTTCAGTATGGGTCAGGCCAAGTCAGATTATTCCAACTTTTAAAAACTGATTTTAAAGATCTTACCCTTCAGATTGTTTGTTTATAATTTTGGAGAATTAAAGCTTCACATGTTTTCATTCTTATGAATATTTAACAAAAGGTATATTGACAATTACCACTTTCCCTTGTGACATAATTCTTGTGACAAAATTCTGCTAACTATGAAAGCTGAGTAAACTTGGATACTTTAAAATATTCTGATGTATGCAACTCAGGTCCTTCTGTAAATTACAGTGTAATAATATCCTAAACTTGAGATTTTATAAGTTTTTTTGTGTGTGTGTAGAGACAGAGTCTCACTTTATTGCCCTTGATAGAGTGCCGTGGCATCACACACCTCACAGCAACCTCCAACTTCTGGGTTTAAGTGATTCTCTTGCCTCACAGTCCGAGTAGCTGGGACTGTAGGCACTCGCTACAACACCCGTCTATTTTTTTGTTGCGGTTTGGTTGGGACTGGGTTTGAACCTGCCACCCTCAGTATATGGGGCCAGTGCCCTACTCACTGACCCATAGGCGCTGCCCTAGAGTCTCACTTTATCACCCTTGATAGAGTGCTGTGGCATCACAGCTCACAGCAGCCTCCAACTCTTGGGCTTAGGCAATTCTCTTGCCTCAGCCTCCTGAGTAGCTGGGACTACACACGCCTGCCACAAAGCCCAGCTATTTTTTGGTTGCAGTTCAGCGAGGGCCTGGTTTGAACTCGCCACCCTTGGTATATGGGGCCAGCGCCTTACTCACTGAGCCACAGGTACCACCCAGATTTTATAAGTTTTACTCCTCTGTTATACTTTTTACCTGTAATATTGTATCTATTATATAATTATGTAAAAAATAGTAACTATTTTATTATATGTATCATTATTATGTAAAAATCTCTCAAACTTAATTTCTTACTTAGAATTAATGATCCCTTCCATATAATCACCCTGCTTCAAACATGCAGATAAGCCAGAATATCATACAATGGCCATTTCATTCAGTATTTATTCTTGATAACAACATTCATTCCTAACTTTAACAGCTTCTCTCCCCCTCTGGTAAAGCTTTTTCCCCCTTTACTATCACCTGTGGTGTTACCTTCCCCAGGCCTGCCCCAGCTTTCCCAGTTTAAATTCTTCATATAATTTTGATTAAAGCTTATCTGAAGGACTGTTTCCTCCCAATTTGTTATACAGAAAACATAAAATAATACAAAAACTGGCCTCAATTCCCATCACTAATGTTTTTATTATTCATATACATAATGTTTTTACAAAGTTGTGATTAAAGTATAGACCAATCTTGAATTCTGAGTTTAGAAGTGTAGTATTTTTTCCATGTAGTATGGTCTTCATAATTATTACATCAGTGGCTGCACACTATTCCATTTTGTTTTGGAAAGCACTTCAGGCTAAGAGCTTTTTTTTCTCTTTGAGAACTTAAACAGTAATATGTATCTGCCTGCATACATCTGACACAAAATCCCTACAACAGCTTGCTTTAAGACATCACCTGTTTACTTCCCATTCACCAGCAAACGTCTTTCCAGAGTACCTGCCGACTGGTTTTACTTCCATGAGTAAAAACCTTCACTCCTCAATCATCTAGGAGCAGCAGCTGCCACCTGACTCTCCTTGCTGTCACCCTTACCCTTTGAATTGTTCTGGGGCTTAATCTTAATTTTCTTGTCCTTTTGACACTATTTACCTCTCATTTTTCTTTCAACTCTGTCAAGCTCTGGCCTCAGCTTTTTGGATCTCTTTGTTCTTGGACTCCTCTGTCCCTGCTTCCTAAATGTCCGTGTCCTTAGCACTCTGCTCTTTTCCCCTCCTTCCTTGGATAGTCACAGAATAATTTAACTTTCATTTCCAGTTCCTAATTCTTGGCTGAGCTTCAGACCAGCTGACTTTCTTTACCCAGTTTCCTTTTCACGGTTGCTCCTGACTACCTTAAATGCTATACTCATCACTTAACCAATCTGTGTGATCTTCCTTCTCTGTAACCTCTTGGTTATGGTATATCTGTTGTAATTGTGAATCTTTATCCATTTCTAGATTGTCAACTCTTTGTAGGTTGATACCTAGAAGTGGATACCTAGAATTTAAGCCTCATGTCTAGCAAGGTGCTTGGCGACCAGTGAATAACAATTGAGTAAGAGGATCATCTGTTTGGGAAGCTCTCCCTACCACTTTCATACATGCTCATTAGCGAGATGAGCATCCTTAGCAATCTCCGTTTTTCTTTTTGTTTAAGCAATGATTGTACTTTCCTGTTCTTTTAAAATTCTGTTTTCTCATGACAGGCTGCAAATTGTATGAGGTCAGGATTGTGGGTTTCTTGCTTAATTCAGTGCCTAGCATATAAAAGTAGTTAAAATATTTGTTAAAAAGAATGACTAAGAATGAATAAATTGTGTTCTAAAAATTATGTAGATACAAGCTTTTACCAACATTATGTGAGTGTGCTGGAATCACCATACTTTAGCATTATTGGGAATTATAATTTTACCACTTATCAAGGTAAAATGATAGCTTATTATTGATTGATATTTTGTTTGTTAAATATATTTCCATACTTGTTTAGCTTCTTTTGTTCTATGTATCATCTGTATTGATATTACTTACTGAATTTTCAATGCTTATTTTATAAACTCGTAGAATAGTATATCCTTTTGCCTTTGATTATATTTTCCTAATTTGTTTAATTTTTTATTTTACTTTCATTATGTAAACACATTTTAGTATTATTATCAAAAACATTTGTTTTTAATGTACTAATTTTTTTGACTTTAGCTTTTAAGAAATCATTTCTTTAAAATATTTCATCTTTCTCTTTATGGTAAGATTTGATTTTAGATTTGTGAATTCTTTGGTCACTGATGAATATAAAGTTAGCTGTATTGTCTTGTGTGGTTCTATACCAGTTTGTTTTTTGGTTTATTTTAATTGATACATAATTGTACATATTTTGGGAGTACATGTAATGTTTGAGGGTCATGTTTCAATACATATAATGATAGTGATCAGATCAGAGTGATTAGCATATTCGTCATCCCAAATGTTTATCATTTTTTGGTGTTAGGATCATTCAGTATCCCTCCTGCTAGGCTAGGTGTGGTGACTCATGTTTATAATACCAGAACTTTGGGAGGCTAAAGCAGGAGGTTTGCTTGAGTCGAGGAGTTCAAGCCCAGCTGGGGCAACATAAAGAGACCTCATTTCTACAAAAAGTTTTAAAAATTAGCCACAGTGTGGTGGTGCATGCCCTTATTCTCAGCTGCTTGGAAGACTCAGGAGAGAGGACGACTTGAGCCCAGGAGTTCAAGGTTGCAGCGAGTTATGATTACACTACAACAGAGCCAGACCCTGTCTCAAAAATACACATACAGACTGTGTGTATCTCCTAGCTATTTGAAACTACTTTTCTTGACTAGTCATCCTACAGTTCTGTAGAACACTAGAACTTACTCTTCCTATTAGTAGTTGTAATTTTCTATCCTTTAACATATCTCTCCCTATCTTCCCATACCAGTATTAAGGAGTATATTTTTACAGATTATTTTAAGTTATATCTTAGAAATTAATACCTATATTTCATGTTGGATTTTTAGATTTTTGCTTTTTACACTTAATATAAAATCCAGAAGTTTTTTCAAAGAACAGTGTAAGCTCTGTAAGTTGACCATCCAAGGGACTGTAACAGTCTGGTCAATGTACGGAGGTGGTCAACGTAAGAAGTAGGCCCACTGTAATGATACTTATATGTGGTGCGTGTCTAGACTGAAAATAAAGTCAACTTGAGGAGGTGGTCAGTGTAGGGAGGTGGTCAGCTATGGAGGTCCTACTGTAGAAAGTTAGTTCTTATGATTCCTTTAAAGCAGAAATTTACTTAAAATAAGAAGGCTGTTTATTCCTAAGGCTTAGAAATCTGTTGACAGTATTTATATTAGAATTTGTCATGTAAAACATCCATTGCTTTTTTCCTGTTATCCCCCAACTCTTTACTTTGGTAAGTTTCAAATCTACAGAGGTTACAAGAGTAGTACAGGGAGCCCACCATGTATCTTTCACGTAGATATTTATCTGTTATTAATATTTTGCCACTTTTTTCCAGCCAAATTATTTGAAAAATAGCAGCTATTATGACACACTCCTAAATACATGTATTCAGTATGTATCTCTTATGAACAGGGAGATTATCCAATATAACTATAATAAAATTGTTACCTTAGATACATAGCCCACACATATATATTCTATATGTACATTATATGACTCTATTCCTATTTGCTTGTTTTCCTGTTTATGTCATTTATATCTTCTTATTCAGGACCCAGTCAAGGATCATAGATTGCATTCAGCTATTAGATTGAGTTAGTCTTTATTCTAAATACTAAATGGGAGATACTGTGTTTTTCTTTGTGGACATGCTATCAGGAGGCATCTCATGTCCTGAGTTTTACATTATTGGTTAAGTTTGATCACTTGGTAAAGGTGATGGTCTTACATTTACGTGCTGTGATAGTATCTTTACGTAACCCTTTTATAAATACGTAATAATGTTATAATGTAGTTTTGGCATCCATTGATAATTCTTGTCCAAATGATCTGTTACAATGGTGATAATAAAGTAGTGAGTTTTATAATTCTGTCATTTCTTCTACATTTACTGGTGTTCATCTTTTTTAAAAAGGTCTCTCTGCTTACCCCTTTATTTAATACAATTGGATTCACAGATTTTTTTAAAATCAAATATGTTTTCATTCATTACTATTATACTTTTGATGCTCAGGTTATGCAAAGTTTAACTGTGAGGATTTTGGGGTATTATCTTTGAATCATCCAAAGATTTATTTTTTAATCATGCATCTGTAGAAAAATAGGTTTGACTTAAAAATGTCCTTTTGGATAACTTATGTTTAAATCCACAGGGAATTTTGTCTTATTCACACTGTGATTTAAATATAGCACATTTTTATAGACCCTGACAACAAGGTTCTGCCATTCAGTTGGGGCCAAAATTATTTGAAAGACTGTTTCCCTGTGATAGTTTAGAAGATGATAGCTAGCACTTCTTGTAGTGTAGAAGCTTACTTTAGATTTCTTCCATTTGCAGTTGATTTACTTGTCCTTGGGGTCTAGGGACAGAGTGATGGTCAAACACATAGATCTTTTAAATTTGCTCTGTCAGTTTAGATATTGGAGTCTGTACTACATATAATACTTAAAGTAAGAGGGGTACCTAAAAGAAAGGCAGATGCAATGCCTTAGACAGTACTCCTGTAGAGGACTGCAGAGGAGTCCTGTTAGACAGAGCACTGACTATATGACCAAAACAACCCTTACCAGGATACCCTGGAGTAGGAGTCCCTAGCACTGATTTTAGAGGGATTTTTTTTTCTTTAAGGAATATTTGTCTTATTCTTCTTAAAGGTTTAATATACCTCTTATCTCTGTATATAGAACATTTTATGAATAATAGTCATGTGCAAAACAGTATGTGACTATTATAACTTAATTTTTTTTTTAATTGTTGGGGAATCATTGAGGGTACAATGAGCCAGGTTACACTGCTTGCGTTTGCTGGGTAAAGTCCCTCTATTAATAGTGTTCCACCCCTAAGAGGTGTCACACACTGTGGCCCCCCACTCCCCTCCCTCTTTCCCTCTCGCCCCTCCCTTCTTCCCCCTCTCCCCACCAAGTACTAGCATCAGTTGTCCTAATATCAGAATTGAGTACATTGGATTCTCGCTTCTCTATTCCTGTGATGTTTTACTAAGAAAAATGTATTTCAACTCCACTCAAATTAATACAAAAGATGTATAGTCACTATCCTTTTTAGTGGCTGTATGGTGTTCCATGGTATACATATACCACACTTTGTTAATCCATTCCTGGACTGGTGGGCATTTAGGTTGTTTCCACAATATGACAGTTGTACATTGAGCTGCAATAAATAATCTAGTGCAAGTGTCCTTATGGTAAAAGGATTTTTTTTCTTTTGGGTAGATGCCCAGTAATGGGATTGCAGGATCAAATGGGAGGTCTAGTTTGAATTCTTTGAGGATTCTCCATACTTCCTTCCAAAAAGGTTGTATTAGTTTTGCAGTCCCACCAGCAATGTAATAGTGTTCCCTTCCCTCCATATCCATGCCAGCGTCTGCAGCTTTGAGTCTTTGTGATGTGGGTAAAACTTTATTTTTAAGTATGACTTTGGGCAAGATCTAGTTATGGGCCAGTTGAGCAATCTCAGCCTATTATAGATTCTCATCATGATCCTCTAATGAAGGTTGTATACCCATTAGAAGTAGCATCAGAGGCAGTTACTGGAAGGAGGAACTAAGTTAGAGTTCTGTAAAATTATTGTGTGTCTTGATTGCTTTGTCTTTAACTTGTTGTTATGATGTTCACTGTTTTGAGGTGACCTAGACATGCCACATCCTTGTTAAGGATGTAGAAAGCATAAATAGTTTCCCTTCTACTGATACAGTTTCAGTGTTATGAACTGATGAATTCTCAAGAAAAGAGGGGGAAGGAGAAGGTACAGACAAGGGAGGAGGTATTATTTCTTCCTAATTGCCATCAATGGAAAAGAATAGAGAGCTTTAAAAAGACCCAAGCTTATGCTTACACCAGATGCGTGAAGAAGGGGGCACAGCAGGTGCAAGAGGTTGGTACACTGCAGCTGTGTTAGAAGGAGGTTCTAAGACACACTAGTAGTTTTTTGTGGAACATTTTGTTAAACGGGACTGAGTGTGTGTCATAGAAAAAAGTTACATGAAGGAAAATTTTTCTTGTTACCATTAAAGATTGTGTGTAATATTGAAACATTTGTGGATGAAGTTATGATTAGGTTTGTTTTACATTGAACTATTGATTGGTACAAGGTAGTGTGGGAAGTTGTAGATGAAATAATCACAAAGAGTGATTTCTGTTATCATTTTTTCAAAGCTTAAGGGTTTTTTTAAAACAATTTTTTTTAAAAAGTTGAGTGGAAGACCTTCAAATCAGTGATAATCCCTTTCTCAGTGGGTTCCTTGAAGAGAATTAAGCCCTACTGTCTTAAGCCATCCAGTGTGAGGAATGAATCAATGTCTCTACTGGGTACAGGGTCTTGCTTTTGCTCAGGCTGATCTTGAACTCATCTCAAGCACTTCACCTGTGTCAGCCTCCCAGAGTGCTAGGATTAAAGGAGTGAGCCATCTGTGTTTTTCTTTCCTATTAGGTATAGTCTAAAAATACAGCCTGTTGAGAAAATGCACCTGGCTGTAGTTGCCTGTGGTGAAAGACTGGAAGAAACTATGACCATGTTGAAGTCAGCTATCATTTTCAGCATCAAACCTCTTCAGTTCCATATTTTTGCAGAAGATCAGCTACATGATAGCTTTAAAGGCAGAGTAAGTATCTGAGACATAGTCAAAGTTATAGAGTTGAATATATAATAGAATGTTGTTTTATTCCTTCATTGAACAAAAATACTTATTCCTTAACTCTCCCCTTCTAAAATGGGGAGAACTTGTACTGCTTCCACCTGAGTCCAGATCTAGGGTGTAAAGTTTGTTTTTGAACAGTGGTAGGCTGCTTGAAGTCATCTGCCAAGTATGGTTTTATATTAGTCACTGTAGTCGCAGGGTGTTTGTCCCATTGTTTAGTTTTGTGCCTCAGAGTGCACACAAAGGTTTCAGTCCTCTTTGAAGGGGAAAGAATTCTTAATTAAGCATATGGAGGGAAGTAGCTTCTTGCTTTGATAAGAATGTTATTTATTTTGGTTTTGTATTATTTAAAATCAATTTGGCTGCAATGGCAGAAAACCCAAAGTAACATGAGAGGAGAGAGTGAAGAAGGACAATCTCCTCCTCCTTTTTAAGGACACTTTTCAGAAGTAGTTGTGACATTTCTGCCAGTATCCCATTGGTTTGAATTTACATATATGACCTACCTGTTAGTGAGGGTGGAATATAAACTCTTCTTCAATCTGGGCAGGCTTGCAGCCTCTTTAACAATAATAATAAAATTCTTACTCTGCAAGAAGGTGAGAGCAGATAACAGGGAGAACATGTAGGAAAATTCACCTGAAATCTCACTACCTGTGTTCTGAGACGGTGGTAAAGATGATGCTGATGATTGTTTGTTCATTCCAGTCTCTGTCTCCACTAAACTAATCTTTTGAACTGATTTGGATTTTAGTATTTGGTTTAACTATGTAAAAAAAAAAAAATGTGTTTGATGTGTTTTCAAGTCAAATAGGTTCATTTTACATATTGAGTGGAAACTACCATTTGTGATCTCCGCTTTTAGTTTTTTGTCAAAATCCTTGATTTCAAGAGGTTTAAAGATTTATTTACTGTTTAAATATATTTTTAGTATTTATAGTTTTTTTTTTTTTAGTATTTATAGTTTTGATAATACTTTTGTGATTTTTACCTCTGTATCTGTTTTTTTTTTTTTTAAATGTTAACCAAGGACTTAATCTTGTCTGAGTGGTTAAGAGAATATTAATAGACTGCTACCAACTGTGGAAACCTTTGAAAATATAATATAAAAGTAAAGCATGTGTTGCTTTGTTTTAGATGTAACCTTTGTGTTAAAACTTGGCTGAGTTGGGGCAGTGCCTGTGCCTCAAAGGAGTAGGATGCCAGCCACATATACCAGAGGTAGCGGGTTCAAACCTGGCCCCAGACAGGCTGAGTTATTCCTTTTTTTTTTTTTTTTAAACTTAGTTTTTCTTTGACTATAATAATCACTGACTATGTTTGGTTTTGCTTTAGATGAAAGAATACCAAATATTTTGCGGGACATATTTTTGGTATACAAAAGATGACTAAATATTATAATGTTAAATGGAAACTGACTAAAATTTCATTTTGAAGTTGTATTGAAAGTATCTTGAAGTGACTTTAATTCAGGCAGAGATTATAAAAGTAGTAGTGTTTTTAAAAATTAGTAGAGATACCAAAGCAAAGTGTTGGGAAAGGCATTCCCTTAAAACTGTGTTGGAAGATACTAATGTTTTAAAAATTACTTAAGCAAAGTCATAATTCAAAAGAGATCTTCAACCTGTTACATAAAACCTAGTCCATTCCTTCCCCCATAAATGTTTCTAAATGCTCTTTATGAAATAAGAACCAACAGTTCTGTTAAAACAAAAATGGTAGGTAATACTTGAACTGAATTTGCAACAATTCAGTGTCTTGAAATGTAGTTAGGATACTAGAGAATAAACATCGATTTTCAGATATGTTTTGCTTTTTGTAATTTTTTAAAAATTGGCATTGACTATATAATTATCAAAACATTTTATTAGGAATATCCAGGCATGTTAAAACTATGCATTGATGGACAAATATTTTTTAACCGTTTCATATTTTGGTGTGATTTTGAATGTAAACATCTATTATACATGATACGGTAATAATATTCATGTTTAATGTTTCTGTTTTTAATTTATTTAGAGATGGAGAAGATTTATAAATCAAGTTGAGGGAGATGAACACTTGCAAGGCTCTTTCAACTTTTTTTTTGTTTTGACTTTCTGATTTTGTGATTTATATTCTAACAATTTTCATTGTGCCTCAGATTTTTTTTTTTTTTTTTTTTGAGACAGGAGCCTCAAGCTGTCCCCCTGGGTAGAGTGCCGTGGCATCTTAGCTCAAAGCAACCTCCAACTCCTGGGCTCAAGCGAGTCTTCTGCCTCTGTCTCCCAAGTAGCTGGGACCACAGGCATCCACCACAACGCCCGGCTATTTTTTGGTTGCAGCCATCATTGTTGTTTGGCGGGCCCCGGCTGTATTCGAACCCGCCACCTTGGGTGTACATGGCTGGCGCCTTAGCCACTTGAGCCATAGGCGCCGAGCCTGTGCCTCAGATCTTAATGATGAAGTCTTTTAGAATGTTACTGTGATTTTTAGATTTCAAGTGAATACAAAGAATATGGTGGAGAAGAATCTTAACTGTTTACACCATAAAATGTATTATCTTAATTTTTAGCTCTTTTGTAATCTGTTAGTTTATTATATTACAGAGGAAATTCAAAGTGAAATAAATCTAAATTGGGTTCTTGTTATTTTATTTTATTTTTTTAGCTTGAAAGCTGGTCCTTTCTACGAACATTTAATTATACATTATACCCCATAACCTTTCCAAGTGAGAATGCCGCAGAATGGAAAAAACTCTTTAAACCATGTGCTTCCCAGAGATTGTTTTTGCCAGTAAGTTTTCTTTCCCTAGTTCTTTGTTTTGTTTATTGAACCTTTCTTTTACACAGATGAGTTTCTGGAGAGGGACATATAAATCTGGTTAAATAAATATGCAAATAGATGTGTATATATACTATTTTCCTTTTGAACATGAGAAAAAAAATTCCCATAGAAGAAGCCAAGTAACACCTGTTAAAAATGAACAATTTTTAGTAATTCTGTTGAAACACCATTACTTACATTTTAATGTATTCAGTTGCTATGAACTGTCTTATCTATAAGAAAGAATAGAGCTTGCCAGATCTCAGTGGAGCCAAGTCTGTTGGCCACAGAAATGCAGTGGCAGGATCCCCTTTAGTATGTGGACTCCATTGAGGGTTGGGAAATGAGGTAGACTGTGTCACTAAATAACAAGTTCAGCTAAGCCAGTTTACCGATTCTCTTAAGCACAGTAACAATATCAACTCAAAGGGAAATGGAGAACCATTTATTCACTGTGGCTGTTCTTTGGTAATGCTCTCTAGTATTAAACCCTATTTTTTTTTTTTTTATCTAAAAATACTCTAAGGTTACTGCTTCCATTTTGAGTTGATTTTACTCACAGTTTTAAAATTCACAGTAGTTGTTTGGACCACTATGATACTTAACATACTATAGTATTTCAATAAAAAAACTTCATGAATAAAAAAAATACTTAACTGTGGTAGAATTTAAGGAGGACACAAATTTCTGGAAAATGAATTAAAAGGAAGAACCTTTAGTTACTTTTTAAGTGAATTAAGGTATTCCTTAGCATATTAAGAATATAACTTACCAAATCCAGGACATCAGAAAGACTTAAATTTAAGTTATAATTTTGATAGCCAAGTCTGCCTAATCAGTACAGGCAGCTCCAAGTTACAAACATCCGACTTAGGTATAACTCTCACTAACAGAGGCTATTACTGGTAATAGGCAAATGTACCTTTCTGACTTATATATAGATTCAACTTGGGAACAAACCTATAGAACTTAGCTCTTTTGTAACCCAGGCTGCCTGTACCTTTTGTTGCTATGCATAAAAAATTTTGAATCTTTGGATCTTTTTCTTTTCTTTGATTACAAAAGGCACACAAATAAGGGAATAAGACTAGGACAAAACCTAAGAAGTTTTAGGTGCTTAACGTAGGCTTTATAAGTTTTTAAAACAAATTTTATGCTGCAGTATCATAATCATTTCGTATGTGAGTGCCTATTTTCTGCCAGCCATCTATACTGGAGTGTGGGGTGTATAGGAGTGAATACATAGGTTTCTCATTTTCATAGAGCTTGTTGTCTGAAGACAGACATTAAATGAGTGATCACACCTATATGTTACTGAAAAAGTAACAAATGACTCAACAAAAACAGGTTAAGGCCATTTCTCTGTCATTTTGTCGTGGCACTTTATTAGTACTTGGCACTGTGGCACTTAACACTTTATTCTCAAGTTTAATCACTGGTGTTGTTATATAAAATTTGCCGGATCATTTAAACATAAGATCTAGTTAAATTCCTAAGTGGAATTTTAAGTACTAAACTAAAATACTTGAAAGTTGTCAAATTGTCCTCCTACTTTACTGTTACTGGTGCATATTTTTAACCAGATTTAGGTAAATTGATCCTTTTTTCCTAGTAATAAACTTTGTTGCTGAGTTTCTCTTCCTTTGAAATAGATGAAAAGCACCAATATAAACTGTGCCAGTGCCTTCTTCCCCTAAAAGGGACCATGGACAAATACTTAAGTGATGATTATTTGACCTTGTACCTGGTCTCTAGTTGGCAGTGGCTCCCAGCGTTGATCTTGGAGCGCTGTGCAGCATCTTGCTAGCCTGCTAAGAGTGCAGCAGCGTCTATAAACAGATGACATATCATGGTAAAGATGCAGGATGTTATTAAGAACAATTCTCCTTACTCCCTCCTTCCTGCTAAAGAGAAAGATGGACACATAGACAAACACGTACACTGTTGAGCAAGTGAATCATTCCTGCTCTAAAGCTTTGTGGTCTATCGTCAGATCTCTTCCCCACACTGGTGATAAATCACCTGATAATGAACTAAGGGAGGAATTAGATCATTTCATTTAGATGAGTAGCTGCTCATTAAGGTGATAGCTGAGCTTTAGTTGCAGGAAGAGGTAGCAGCTTTTGAAAAGTAGAAGAATGAGTATCAGGTTCTTGTTCCCATTATATTCTAAACTGAAAAGAATAATAGAATGTTACTAATAGACCAGGATAAGAAGTGTATTTAAGTTTATAGACACAGAGTCTACAGTTCATGGGTAAGGCGGGTTTCAAGTTTTGCTAGTTGATACTTAGCAGAAAGCGTCAGTGTTAGAGGAAAAGGGAACCTGTTTACAAGATCTTCATTTGTATTGGTTTATTTCTGTGTTAGATCAGGCTTTGAGATACAAATTCACCTGAGTTAATGTTATTTTCCGTTATGAAAGACATTTCCTCTTTGATTTTTGAAGATACTTCTTTTATTCTCTCAGTTGTTAGCATTGAGTTTTTTTGTTTTGGTTTGTTTTCATAGTCTTTCTTTGAAAGTTAATATAAAGATTACATAGTATCTTTATATCTGCGGTTGTCAAAAATGACAGATTTAGGAAAAATTTACTTCAGTAAAATGCAAATTAGCTTGTCTCTTAAGTTTATCTTTTATAATTAAAAAGTCCTTTATATTTTTCTTAAATGAATAGGATTACGGTTAATGATTAATATATCTCTTTTCATAGTTAATCCTAAAAGAAGTTGACTCACTATTGTATGTCGACACTGATATCCTTTTTCTGCGACCTGTTGATGATATTTGGTCTTTACTAAAGAAATTTAATTCAACACAAATTGCTGCGATGGCACCAGAGCATGAGGAGCCCCGAATAGGATGGTATAATCGCTTTGCCAGACATCCATACTATGGAAAAACTGGAGTAAACTCTGGAGTTATGTTGATGAACATGACTCGAATTAGAAGGAAGTATTTCAAGGTAAGTCACTAATACAGGTAGTTGATTAACATTTCTCTTTTTCCCTCTAAATTGTTTGATTTCCAATTCAGTCTTTTTCATTAAAAACTAGATTGAACTATTACGAATTTTTCTATTTATTTCAAATAATTTTTTTTAAAAAAAGCATGCTCATAGTATTTTAATGGAGCATTACAGGTCAAACCTATAATGGATTATAATGAAGCAGACTAACAGTGCACTAAGTAGTGAACGTCATCTCCCTTGGTTGTCGCTCCAGGAGGGAGCCATTATTTTGCAGTTAGCTGTGTGGTCATAGAATACTTGAATCTAAAGTAGGCTATAACACAGAGTTGTGGTTAAAAGCATAGACTCTGAAGACTGTTGGTCTGATTCAAACTCTGACACCTCACTTAATGACCTTGAGTAGGTTTTCAATGTCTTTGGCCTTCAGTTTTCTTAGAGATAAATGGGAATGATAGCAAGAGCAATTTCTCAGGGCTTTTGTGAGGGTTAAAGGAGTTAGAACAGTGGCTAACAACACAGAAGATGTTGGCTATTATGGTGTCATTGGAAGTCAAACTTTTTTTAAAAAAGTCCCTGTGTGTTTCTAATCCCCCAAGTTGTGGGGTCAGTGGAAGAGTCAGATCATTTAAATTAATCTGTGCATTCTGAATGCATCAGTATGTTCTGCTGTTTCATGTCGATTACTGGTACATGGTAAATGGCAAGT